TGGCTAGAATACATCCATCCTGTTTGTATATTTTGCAGGCACATAAGGAAAAGAATAAGCGTTCTTAGAAGGGATTTGATCTATACTAGTGAGAAAGGTGTTAAGTTGCATAAGGAAATAAAAGACAAATGAACATCAAACTTCTGCTAGAAAATATGATGAATAAACAGGGTCTATTAATGCACACTGAACTTTGGAGAGAAAGCCTGATAGATGCCCTGCAGGGCTGCATTGGACCAAATCTGAATCTGAAAGGCACAGGTGGCAGCAGCTTTGCTGCAAACATACCATGGTTTTAAAAGACAGGACAATTAAGTACAAGTACAAAGTAACATTTAATTTTGGGGGGAGAGTGAAGAAAAAAAAAAAGGCTATAGAAGGAAGCAGGGATTTATTAAAGAGGAATAAAGAGCACCCAGTGAAAATTAGGGTATGCCTGAAATAGATTAGTACTACTCTTCCTTCTGCTACCCTGTATTTTACAGGACATAACACGTGCCTGTATGAGGCTTTATTTTAGTGAAGACAACAACTGTGACAAAGAAGGCTAGAAAAGAACAGGAAAGCTTTTGCCCAAATTTCAATACTTTGTTCCAAAGCACAGAGCTACTAAAGCTTTTCTACAAGTGTTTGTAAATACTGTAAACACTTTTTAATGTGCACAAGAAATATTTTGTTTCCTCGTACTCATTCAGAGAAATGGTTCAACCACCTTCTTTAGAAAATTTCTAAGCAATTGACATGAGACATATATTTGGAATAGGAAAGTTTAATCCTACTCATTAAGACATGACAAACTTATAATTAATTGAGAATGGAGTCAATAATGAGAACATCCTTCAATGTAATGATGTTGGTACTATCAGCTTGTAATATGGGAATACGTTATAGAAAGTGAAGTATAATATGGAAAATTACAAGTCAGTTTAAAAAAAGAACAGTCTGAAAGTTTTTCCTTGGGTCCAATCTTTAAAACACAAATTTTAAATCCTCAAAAGTTACATTTTCCCAGTCATCAAATGAGATAATACATTACGTTGTTTTCCTGTGATGAGGAATAATTCAAGGTCTTACATTGCCTGATTAATCTCACAACCAATATTTAGAAAAGGTTTCTCTTTGAGCTAATCAAACTTGACAAAAGCAATCTTCAAACTATGCCACATTCACTGATTTGTAAGATATCTCAAACTTGTGTTTTATTAAATGCAGTTTAAATTAGCAACAGCTCTAAATCCACCTGCATATGAGACCTCCTGAATCTCACAGACAGTACATGAGGTAGGGAAAAAGAAAACACATGCAGATCAAAATTATTGGGACAAACTTTTTTTTTTTAAATTAAGGATGCCATTTTAGTTTTAAGATAGCACCCAGCTACAACCCTATTGCTCACATTACGTTGCATTTTGGGGGAAGAGCTGCTGATGGTATTCAGTTACTTTTTCTTCTGGAGCTAACTGCCTTGACCTTACTGGATAAGTTATGTCCAGTGATTCCTCCAAATAATGCTTATTTCTTTCCACATATGAAAGAGGATAACTTTCAGTATACAATTTTATGACATTCCTAGCCTTTCGGTGTCATAACAGTATCATTAGGTTAAAAGGACATTAGTCCAGAAGAGCAATGTTGTGATGGTACAGCTATTACCATGAGGACAACTGGTAGGGAAGCACTACAACACTGGTAGGGAACACTGTGGGGAAACATATAAATACCATCCCAATCTTCACCTTCACTACCAATTAGTGTTGGTAGTTTCCTTTCTTTCTGTGAGTGGTCATACGTGTGTGAACAAGATTTTCCCATGGTTTGAGAATGTGTTTAAATTTTAGTGCGGAGAGTCAGGCAACCAAAGAGATTCCTGAGTTAGCATAGCTGAGTTAGAGGAAGAAAAATATGGGAGAGGTGTAAGTATTAATTCTCTACTGCAAATATTCCAAAAGGAAATCAGGTTTCCAGCTTATTCTTCCTCTCAAGTCACACTTAAGTTCTGATAAATAAGTTTCTGAGCTACTGACTCCCCTCTATTTCCTCATGGTTGTGTGCAACAGAGAAACTGTGTTTCAACATAGGCAATGTCTATGATCGAATAATATAACACAATACAATACTCCATTAACAAAGATTCACATGTATTAGAAGTTGCTAGTGCAAATCTTTTTCAGAGCCAAGGAAGGATATCCAAATATTGGGTAACATGCTCTGACTGGGAAGAGTATCAGTGAGTTTCTCTGTTTATATAAATGGGCCAATGCTTTTTAAAGCACTTCAGAGCACTTAACTAAAGCAAACAAGCACTTGAACTTTAAATATCTAGCAAGAGAAGCTATTGACAAGTATGACTTTACTCAGTAAATCCTAATATCTTTGCGACCTTTCATTCATACAGTCTCTTCATGAAGAGAAGCACCAGGCTCTTAACTCAACTTCAGCTCTACTGCACAATACAGAGTGAGAGGGGTGAGCAATTGCCTAGCGCTCTTTTATTTCTTTTTGTTAAAGCAAACTGCTTTATTTTTTCCTATATGGGGTTCCTGGGCCCACAGAAGTCTTTAGAAAGCAGGTTCTGATTCTGAAATCTTATTCTCGCTCTTATTTGGCTTTTGAAGGAGGATTTTTCCATCTTATGAACCTCCTTTTCAACTCCTTGCTATCCATGGGTAGCTAAGCCTTGATTTCAGAATACATTTACCGAACACCATCCTATTAATTCCCAACAGGTGAATAATGCTGTGGGAACAGCTTGCTATGCTCAATAGAAGGATGTTTTTGGTAAGTAGTCTTGTAACGGCGCAAGTGTCGTGCATCTTTCAGGTCTTCGTACTTATAATACACTCCCTAGCTACTGCATTATATACAATGACACCGGTCATTTCCTGACCTAGATTGGTGTGATCTGACTCACACATACCTTTCTGCTGAGAAACCAGCATCCAAGAATAATCTGAGAGATTATTCTGTAGCTTTGGACAGTATATTTTTTGGAAACGTCATGATTTCATATGGGTCAAGTAACATGCAACTTCATAGTTGGACTCTGTCAAATCAGGTTTGCTGTATGCTCTGCGAAAGAGTACGGATTTCTCCCTTTATTAGGGAAAGCTGGCCCTGAGAACCAAGAAGGTGGTGCTTAAAACAAGCTTTTCCATTCAGTAGCAGGTAGAGCTCATTCCCTAAAATCCTGCAGCACATTTTGATTTTTATTTCTCTCCGAATGTGTTTTGCATGCAGTCCGCGTAACATGGCAGAAGAGAGGTGATAGAATAAACCTTTACTTTAACCTGGTCGTTACCTTCTTAGAGAAAGGAAATAAAGCATTTTTAAGCTATATTCTGGAGCTCATTAGCCACATTGGGATTTCAGTTCGCTAGTTTTAGGGAACATGTTGCATGTTCTGAAAGTGGTACTGGCTCTACCATTACTAGTCTGGTAATGAACATTCTTGAAACCCTGTTTTGCTAGAAAAAAAAAACAACAATAGATGCAGCTGAGAATATGAACTACTTAGTGCTAAAGCCTCAGTCTATGTGCAGTTCCTAAAAGAAATAGCTCTGAAAATTCTTCAAAAAACTCTGTAATTTCTAATTGGGTTTTAATGTATAAAATGGCTGAGTAATTTAAAAGTTTGGAAAAGAAAACAGTCTTTCCTAGAGTTTATGAAGTGATAAGTCTATTTCTTAGAACAATTAACTATGAATCCTGATTTCAAACACGAGTGTCTATTAGCATATGCTCTCCACAGCTGACCTGGTAAGATCATACAGTTTTATCAAATTAATATTCCAGGGTCCAATTCTGGTATTAAATCCCCATTCCCCCCCCCCCGCCTTGAGTAAGCACCTTGGTTTCTACAAAAATAATTCTATTTCCAACTCTTAAACAAAGAGCGAAATCAGGATTAAGCTCTGCTCATGATGCATTTTGCTCTACTGAATGACACAAGTTAGATTTGTATGTACAGGACGCATATCATGACATTCCCCCTGGAAACTGAAAAAAACCCCAAACCCAGAAAACTAGTAACATTCAAGGATAATACAAGAATCATTCACTTAGAGAAAATTTTTTAGTAGCGAATGCATGTTAGAAAGACAGATGAAGTACAGCCAAGACAGCATAAAGCATGCTTTTGGGTAAGAATGCCCCAAATAACATCCCATTTTACAACTGTGATAAAACAAGACTATGACGAAAGAAAACATTGTTCAGTTTTGAACACACTGCAAATAAGTAACAAGATATAATTATTTAGAAAGCTCTCCAAGATCCCATAGCTTTGGTAGAAATGAATTAAAGGGTGAAATTAAAGAATAGAAGAAAAACTTAGACAAGATGAACTGAAAAGGAAAAAGAGAAAAAAGCAGTGAAAAGAAACAGATCCAGGGAAAGTACTGGTCTACTTTATTCTAATAATAGAATAATCAACAGAATATCTCTATGCACTAACACCTAATTTGAGCATCCTGAATTCTGATCCTGATTTCCAGAGATGGCAACTACATATTAAAAAAAAAACCCTTAAATTGCTCATTACTAGAAATAGATTGATTTGCATGAGAAAGGTGCAGAGTTAGATTCCCATTTCACTTACAGATATTAAGATCATAAAATGAAGTCTCAAAGTAAGTCCTAACTCCCAGGTTAACGCTCCCCTCCTGTTGGTAACGGCATCATTGCCCCTGCGACCTGGGAAATAACACAGAGTGGCCACAGGGCAGAGGCAGTTTGAGTGAGCCCAGCAAAAACTGAATGAGGGCGCAGGAGATGAGCGTGAGAACTTGCCATTCAGTTCAGTATTCAAAAACAAATAGAGAAACATCCAAGTGGGAAACACCATCAGCAGCAAAATGTCTGACTTTATTAATGTCCATCTGAGCACCTGACAACACAGGTCAGGGGCAAATAGCTCAACCCATCAGAAACTTGGGACCGTTCGGTAG